TGATCCAAAAACGCTAAAATTTGGCTGAAACGCCAATAACCAAACAAGGCCGTTATGTATTATCATAATCTCAGATAACACTTTTGTTAAAAATGTTATATGATTAATATTATAGATAACACTTAATATAAACAAGCGTTATGTGAATAGCCCTTCACATGACGCTTATTATAAAAAAAGCGTTGTGTGAAAGGTTCTTCACATAACGCTTATTACAAAAAAAGTGTTATGTGAAAAGTTCTTCACATAACGCTTTTTAAGCGTTATCTGAAGAATCGGTCTTCAGATAACACTGATTCTGATAACGCTTTTAAGCGTTATCTGTAGCAAAAAAAAAGCGCTATCTGAAGCCTTTTTTGGCGTAGTGCCCTAGCAGTTTCGGGCTAGCCCTAGTAGGCTTCGGGCTAAACGGTCTGGGCCTAAAAAGCCCGGATTTAAACGGGCTACCAATAAAAGGACCTAACCCTAACCCTAGCGGGCTTCGAGCTACGGGCTATGCGGGCTATAATAGTAGTAGTAGTAGTAATAATAACAATAATAACAATAACAACAACAACAACAACAACAATAATAATAATAATAATAATAATAATAATAATAATAATAATAATAATAATAATAATAATAATAATAATAATAATAATAATAAATAAATAATAATAATGTATCAAAAATATCAAAATAAAAATAAAAAATTATAAAAAGTTACAACGACTAAATAACGATTGTTTTCAACGGTATTTAGTATTTACCGCTCTATATATACAACTACACATCATATATTAACACACACCACAAACTCTTAAATAACATATTTTTTTTCAAACGAAAAAAATATTCGAATTATTATTTACAATTACCATTTTACTACGTATTTTGTACGTTTTGAAAATTTTTACGACCATTATATCATTATAAATTCTATCACTATGTTTCATGTGTTAGGTATTTGTTTCATGTGTTTCCTATTAGTCGTTCTGATAGACTTAAATATTTTGGTGTGGAGTACAATAAGAATATTGTTAATAATAATCTTTCAAAATCATTATAATCCGTTACAGCTCATACTTACATGTGAAGTGGAATAACAAAATTATAATATACAATGAATTTAAGAGCATATTATTACTTACTTGCTGCAAACATTTACAACGACCAACTCAAGTTAAAGGGCCAACCCTAGCAGGTTTCAGCCTAGCCCTAACGGGCATCAGTTTAAACGGTTTCGGGCCTAAAAAACCCTTATTTAAATGGGCTACCAATAAAAAGCCCTAACCCTGTTTTTATCCTGGCTAAACGGGTCGGCCCGTCGGGCCAAATACCATTTAACATCTCTAACATTAACGAACAAGCCTATTCTAAATGACCCGAGATCAATCAATTTCTCCCCTTCCGGTTTTTCAAATTGATTAACTAGATTAGAATGATGATCAAACATCTAACCCTAGATTATGCACAACTCAAATAGATTGAACGACAAACACCCACACATGAATCTCAATCGAACGAAAACAAATATACCCTATCCCTAACGAAGCGATTTAGATACACATATTGATATCAATCCCAACAAAAGATTCAACACAATAAATCACATCCATGATCAAGTGAATAGAAATTACTGTTAACCAAGTCGAGAATGAAATCGAAATACAAACTAAATTGTGTTCGTTATGGAGTGCCACAGTCTTCAAAACTCGAATCCAAGCAGTGTTTTACAACGCGCATCGCGCAATGCATCGTGTTTTGGTCTTTAAATTGCATAGCGTAAATAGCGTAGCGCATTGCGTAAGTTATTCGAGAAATTCACTTTTAATGTCAATAATAATAATAATATATAACCATAAAAGCGAATAAATAATTAAAATGATATTAAACCATAAATAACTTGCACATTGAATCTAAAAAATGACATTCAAATATTAATTATTCAAACAACCAAAGTCTTAATGTCTAAAGTAAAGACTCAAAATCTTAATATGATCAGTGTTATCCAATTGAATTTAGCTATCATCGTCAATTCTATTAAACTTATGAAAAATTTCACTACAAAAAAATAATTAATACAATTCCACCAAATTTTTGCATCTCCTCATCATTTGGAGAAAAAAATGAAGTGTTCTTCCCATTTTACTTTTGAGCTTAAAAAACATAAACATCAGATTATTCTAACAGTCGAAAAGTCAATCATAGCTATGTTGATATCAATTTTTTAAATATTTTTTTTAAGAGAAATACGAATCATAGTCTAATAATCACTCAAATTCGCCATCGGAGAAATTACACAATTTTGTGCCCTACGTTTTTTTTTTGCATTTTATTTATTTTTTATTTTTATTTTTTGCTTATAAATAAAGATTTTCCAAATAGCGTGCTAATAGCGTAAATTGCGTAAATAGCGCAAAATATAGTGCAAATTGCGTGCGCTTTTCTGGAACTGCGCAAAATTATATACGCTATGTCGCGTTTTCAGGTAAAAATGCGCTATAGCGCGCTACGTAGCGCGCGAAATTGCGCTATTTAAAACACTGAATCCAAGCAATATCCAAAGAAAACCAAGTAAAAGTTGTTGAGAGAATGAGTTTTGAGATGAAAAGATAAATGATAAAAGTCTCAATAATCTGTTTTCTCTCCAGCCCAAGGCTAATATATCCCCAAGGGTTCCAAAATCTCCCCCTCATCTCGTCCAGGGATGAGATGGAAAAAAAAAATCATTTGTTAAATACACATCAGCAGACGCGTTGGCATTTTGAGTGCCACGTCAGACGAATTGGGGCAAGATGAAAACCGTATATCGTTTTGCAAAGAATTAAAGGGCGTGATATATTATGCAGATGGTTAAAAGATTGTGATTAATTTGCAATCTCGATAAAGGTCATGATATTAGCCGTAATTTTGCATAAAAAAAATTTGTCTGTTAAATACACATCAGCATGTGCGTTGGCATTTTGAGTGCCATGTCAGACGAGTTGGGGGCAGCAGATGAAAACCGTGTATCGTTTTGCAAGGAATTGAAGGACGTGATATATTATGCAAAAGTTAAAAAGTTGTGAATATTTAAAATCTCGACAAAGGTCATGATATTAGCCGCAATTTTGCTTTAATAATATGTATCTCATGATAATATTACCATATAAACATATATACATAGTTTTATTTTGAAAAAAAAAAACAAAAAAAAAATTAAAAAATTAAAAAATATATATGGGCTGGGTCAACTGGGTTGACCCGGCCGGGTCAATGCACCAGGTCGGAGGGTCAAAGTCGGGTTGGCCGGGTTTTGACCGGGTTTGACCGGGTCCTTTGTTGCCCGGTCCAAATATCCCACACGGATCGGTTCCAGCTCCAGGTCGGCCGAGTCCCCGGTAGACCCGCCGGGCCGGTCCGGGTAAAAAAAACTATGCTTGTCCCCTAAACATTAATTTAGTTTGTAGATTTTTATCTGACATAGCGAATTAGTTAGACGATAATATTTTACCGTTGAATCAACAATCACTCACAAATGTATGTGATTCGAAGGTTACAAAATTGGATTATGGTTTCTTTTCTGGATTGGTATGGATAAATAGAGAGTTGGCTTTACTTTTTTTAGGAAAAAAATATATATGCATAAAACATATTGAGACTGAAACAACAGTTGAAACAAAATTGCAACAAGAATGATGGAATTTTATGAGGAATACAGACAGGGACGAATCTAACAAATAAAATGAGGAGATGCCTAATTATTTAATGAAAAATATAAAATATCCTAACAAAAAGTGCAAATACAAAGACATTCATTCATAATCGTTCTTTATGAGTTTTCATGGCATGATATCACTCGATAATAACATCATTACAAATTTTCAAGAAGATTTCATTTTCTACATAAACCAGTAGTCTATCATTTAACTAATCATCACTCATTCGATTGCTCAATCTATATCCTTAATAATATTCATTGCAGAAAACACACTTTCTACGCTAGCTGTTGCAACCGGTAAAACCAATGCCAAAGTTAAAAGTTTGTAAACCCAAGGAAACACTTTGTGCTTTTTCGTCTGCACCAACTCCTCTGCAAGTTTACCAACTCCTTTCAATTCTTTAAACAATATGTTGAAGCGCATATCAACATTATAGTTCTACAACTGATCTTTAAAAATGAGGACATCAGATATCTAAAAGTCTTGAAATCAAACTCCTCGATCACCATTAAACTTCCGGTTGTATTCTCTTTCTGCCTAGTGATAACAGAATTTTCATCAAACCTATTTGGATTCAAAGTATCTCATTTTGAGATATTTTCACAACCACTTTGATG